AGGGATGGGAGTGACTATGAAGTGATAGCCAGCTAAGTACATCTCCAGTGTCTGTGTATATGGTAGTAGCAGGGATGCGTGTACGGTATCAGAGATATTGAATAGTCTATGTGGCTGTGGTGGGTCTGGGGGGGGGGAGGGCGGGCTTTGGTTGTTTGTTAATTTGTTTTTATATGTATACAGCAGTAGTATTCCTTTAAGAATATAGACATTGAATAAGCCTCTTTTTCTGTGTGGGGGGGGGGTTGGGTTGAATCCACAACTCGTTCACAACTAAAGTGTGCATGCCGAAGTGATAAAGTCTGTTGTCAGAACATGAGCTTCAAGACAGCATATACCCCTATACATGGACATATCCAGTACACGTAACATGACCTTCAAGACAGTGTATATTCTTATACATGGGCATACCCAGTACACCTGACATGACTGACATGAGCTTCAAGACAGTGTATACCCTTATACATGGACATACCCAGTACACCTGACATGACTGACATGAGCTTCAAGACAGTGTATACCCTTATACATGGACATATCCAGTGCACCTGACATGAGCTTCAAGACAGTGTATACCCTTATACATGGACATACCCAGTACACCTGACATGAGCTTCAAGACAGTGTATACCCTTATACATGGACATATCCAGTGCACCTGACATGAGCTTCAAGACAGTCTATACCCTTATACATGGACATATCCAGTGCACCTGGCATGAGCTTCAAGACAGTGTATACCCTTATACATGACCTATCCAGCACACTTCTCTCCTCACTATATTGAACCCACCTGCTGTGCGAAGTTGCCGCCACGGTCCACAAACCCTGGATTAAACATCGGAATAGGTGCTCGGGCTATGTAGTACGGCTCAAAGCGCATTGTATAGGGCACCTCATAGAACACATCCTCTCTGTTCGAAATAGGAAGTGTGTTACTACACTGCTCTGCATTCAATAGATATGAGTTGTGTGTGTGTACGTAGAGGGTATAGGGCACCTCATAGAACACATCCTTTCTGTACGAAATAGGAAATGTGTTACTACACTGTTCTGCATTCAATAGATATGAGTTGTGTGTGTGTACGTAGAGGGTATAGGGCACCTCATAGAACACATCCTCTCTGTGCGAAATAGGAAGTGTGTTACTACACTGTTCTGTATTCAATAGAAATGAGTTGTGTGTGTGTTCGTAGACGGTTGTTTCCGAAGACTCCCAGTGCGTGCACTGTAGCGCTGAGATGCGTCTACATACGTTACCATGGCAACCATGTGCGACTGAGAGTGCTACACGAGCGTACATACAGAACAAATAGTCACTTGTATGGAAGCTTACAAGAGGGATAAGGTTGCATACAGGATGAATTGACCTGGATATACACCTCTGTCCTTGCTATCTCAACGCTAAACATAGACTTTATCCATTGACTGTGAGAAGAGTGTAGGTATATTGATGGTTGTACTACTATATGGCCACAAATCCTGTGATCTGGACGTGGGTGCAATCAATCAGACTCTCTGAGAGTGTGTGTGCCGCTGTTCATGTATATTCGTGAGTGTGTGTGCGTGTGTGAATGCATGTATGTACGCGATATACACACAGCTACACTTTTGATACTCTGCATCCCACTATATGATGTGCTACTGCTACTATATGAAGTGGAACTACGTTGTAATGATGGATGGCTTGCACTATGTACAACCCGGACTGGCCTAAGCTCATGAAGACATCGCATGCATGTGTGTAGTGGATGTGCGACTCTATTTGAAGAAGGTGCTTACTAGCAAACGACAATAGGTGTCGAATTTAGATACGCCCAAACCTCCGTGATTCGAGCCAAAGAACGTCAGTAGTGGGGATGAAACTTCAATGGAAGTACACGTGTGAGTCAATATACATAGCTCTCGAAATACGAAGATGATACACATCACACACACACCACACACCCTGATTTCATCCATTTGACGTGGTTAGTTGGGATGTAGGCGGCATGAAACTACATCTGTACGTATATATACATAGCTCTCGAAATACGAAGATGATGCACATCACACACCCACAACACACCCTGATTTCATCCACTTGACGTAGCTAGTAGAGATGTAGGCGGAATGGAAGTATATCTGTACGTATATATACATAAAGATGATACACATCGCACACACACAACACACCCTGATTTCATCCACTTGACGTGGTTAGTTGGGATGTAGGCGGCATGAAAGTACGAATGCATGGGCGATGCCAGCTTGTTATACATCGCTTCCACTGCCTTTGCCTTTGAAATGGTGGCACACTCCTGCTGAAGTGGCGGTGCAAAGCGTTCTGCCGTATCACAGGGCCAGCGGATTAGTGTATGCTATACATACCACGTTGGAGTGTGGTGCGTTAATTTACTGTCGTACTTAAACATGTCTTCTGAGTGTGGTACTTCAATACATACTCGTATAAACATATCTTCAAAGGGGTCTATGTAACTCAATGACATACACAACATGCCTAAGCGCGTGTATTGCTGTGGCCGTAGACTTGTTGTCAATAAGCGAGACAACGGACCGTCCCCCATTTGTAGATAGCACTGTATCCGTACACAGCGTCACAACGTGCGATCACTAGAGCCAATACTACCACATACTAATTAGTACCGAACAGCTATTGGGGTATAGCTAGAGAACATGCACTTAATCAATAAAGAACAGCGGAGAGAACTGGGCCGAACGAATTGCAAGGCGAATGCCTGCAAGGCGAATGCCTACAAGGCATGGCACAGATATAAACACGTATTGGTTGTAGCGAAGATTTGACAGGGTAAACTACACCGCACAGTGCACTGGACTGTAAGTTGAACACATGGTACACATGGCAGGTAGGAATAACGAAGACATACACAAGCTCGATCGCTCTTTCTCTCTCTCTCTATATATATATATATCTATATATATACATGTATGAAAATTTATATATATATATATATATATATATATATATAATATATACATGTGTTGTTTTATTAAGAATAATATGAATATTACTT